GGAGAAATATCAATAACCTCAGATATGCAGATGACACCACCCTTATGGCAGAAAGCAAAGAAGAACTAAAAAGCCTCTTGATGAAAGTGAAAGAGGAGAGTGAAAAAGTTGGCTTAAAGCTCAACATTCAGAAAACTAAGATCATGGCCTCCGGTTCCATCACTTCATGGCAAATAGATGGGGAAACAGTGGGAACAGTGGCTGACTTTATTTTTCTGGGCTCCAAAATCACTGCAGATGGTGACTGCAGCCATGAAATGAAAAGATGCTTACTCCTTGGAAGGAAAGTTATGACCAACCTAGACAGTGTATTAAAAAGCAGAGACATTACTTTGCCAACAAAGATCCGTCTAGTCAAGGCTGTGGTTTTTCCAGTGGTCATGTATGGATGTGAGAGTTGGACTGTGAAGAAAGCTGAGTGCCAAAAAATGGATGCTTTTGAACTGTGGTGTTGGAGAAGACTCTTGAGAGTGCTTTGGACTGTAAGGAGATCCAATCAGTCCATCCTAAAGGAGATCAGTCCTGAATATTCATTGGAAGGACTGATGCTGAAGCTGAAACTTCAATATTTTGGCCACCTTATGCAAAGAACTGACTCACTTGAAAAGACCCTGATGCTGGGACAGACTGAAGGTGGGAGGAGAAGGGGACGACAGGATGAGATGGTTGGATGGCATCATCCACTCAATAGACATAAGTTTGAGTAAACTCTGGGAGTTGGTGATGGACAGGGAGGCCTGGCGTGTTGCAGTCCATGGGGTTCGAAAGAGTCAGACATGACTGAGCAACTGAACTAAACTGACTGACTAAGTCAGCTGTCCGAGCACCATCCATTAAAAAGACTGCTCTTTTTCCACTGAATGGTCTCCACACCTTAGTTGAAAATTAATTGGCCACAATAACATGATTTATTTCTGGACTCTCAATTGTTCTGGACTTTCTATTCCATTGATTTTTATATCAATCATTATGCTAGTACCACAATGATTTAATTGCAATTCTACAAAATTTCATTACAAATAGGTTTGTATTATATTCTGAAATTGGAAAGTGAATCCTCCAACTTTGCTCTTCTTTTTCAGTATTATTTTAGCTATTTGGGGCCCCCTTTTCCATATGAGTTTAAAGATAGGCTTTTTTTTTTTTTGCAAAAAAAAGATCATAAGGATTGGATGAATATGTGAGTCACTTTGAAAAATACTGCCATTTAAACAATATTAAGTCTTCCAATCCATGAACATGGGATATCTCTTCAGCGATTTAGGTATTCTTTAATTTCTCTCAGCAGTGTGTTACATTTTTCACTATATAATTATTTTACCTCCTTGGTTAAACTTTTTCTTAGGTATTCCATTCTCTTGATGCTATTGTAAATGTAACTGTTTTCTTAAGTACCTTTTTGCATTGTTCATTGCTAGTGCATAAAAATATAACTGACTTTTGTATGCTGATCTTATACTAAATTTGCTTATTAACTCTAGAAGATTTAGATGTTTTGAACAGATAACATCTAGGAAGCTTCTCTACTTAAGGCAAGCCTCTGTGTCAGTCCCACAGGGAACTGCCGGATAGTCCAAAATGGAGAAGCACACATTTCTGAGAATAAAGCTATTGCTCCTCCCCTGCCCCCAACCCCCACTGTCCCCACGGCTGCCACTGACCTAAAAAACTGGGGATGGCAGGCATTCAAAAACGCAAAAATGCCACAACACTTTCTTACCAAAACTTCACATTCTTAAACTTCTTCATTAAGCACTCCTTTGGTTGTTTTACTTTTCTATTAGATTGCAGTGTTTTGAAAAGACTGATCTGTCAGTTTCTGCTAACTTAATGGTTTCTTCATTTTATTTGTTAAGAGAAGCTACTAGGGAAACTCCACCATTCTCCATGATCAGTAGCTTCTTTTTACAAATAAAATGTGGTGAAATTGACAGAGCACAACTCTTGAGACTATGTCATAAAAGGCACTGAGATGTCCTTGTTCTCTCTCGGAGCACTCGCTCCAAGAGAAGTCAGTTGCCAGACTGTGAAGACTCTCAAACAGACCTATGGGGAGTCTCACATGGCAAGTTGCTGAGACAGCTTACCAACAGTCATACGAGTGAGCTACCTTGGAACTGCAGTCCTTGTCAAGCCTTCAGATGACTATAGCTCTGACCAACATTTAAACTGTAACCTCAGAAGAGACTCTGAGTCAAAGTCATCCAATTAAGTCACTACTGAAAAAACGATCTACAGATACCAAAAAATAATAAATGTATATTGCTTTAAACTGCTAGGTTTGGGAAGTATATGATATTTAAAGCTGAGGCCTGAAAGATGAGAAGCTAGTCATCCAATGAGTTCTAAGGAAGAAGAGTGTTTCAAGCAGAGGGAATGGCAAATGCAAAGGCCCTGCGTAAGGAAAGGTGACTGACATGTTAAAAAAAAAAGAACTTGAAAGAAGATCAATGTCACGGGAGCTCAGTGAACAAGAGGAAAACAGTGAAGAAAAGAGATCACCAAAACGGCAGAAAGTAACTGAAGTGACTGTAACGAAGTCTTTAAAACAGTGAAAACTGCTAAGTTCTAGGGTAATCAAAGGTACCTTATCCATAAAAACATGGAAATCAACCTGTAATTAAGTAGAGGTAGATAAGAGCAAAGCAGTAATGGTCACTAGTCCAAAGACAGCTAGGCAGTTAACTAGTCCAAAACTCACGACAGGCTCACATAAGGTGAAGGAAAGCCACTGGGTACTACCCCAGAGGGGCAAAAACTAGACTTTTTAGAGAATATAACCTTATTGAAAAGTATATAACTCTGATAAGCCAATGTTGCTTATTTTTAGAAGTACTAATAAATATTGGATTGAAAACTGAGCATAAGGTCTTAATGAAGAGGCCTAAAAGTAAAAAAGACCTAGTTTTATTCTTGGGTTTCTCACTAGTTTTGTCAACTTTGGTAAATAACTTCACTCCTAATTTAATTTCACTTAACCACAAAATGAAATAATGATATACACATGTCCAGTCTTACCTTTTTTAAGATCAAATAAAATAATATGATAAAAATGCTTTGAAACTACCAAAAAAAAAAAAAAAGACATACACAAATCTGATCATTTGTAGAGAGAAACCAAAAAAAACTAACTGTATCTATTATCACACAGGAAGCCAGCGTGGAAACTGTAACCCTTTGAGAGTACAAACCAAGATCTTTACATCATCCCATATTACTTACAGAAACAACACCTTTATGAGGACGCTATTTTACAATTCTGAATGGTGAAATCATTGGTGAAAAAATTTATATCTAGAATGCTAGCTTAAAGCATCTGTCTCACCAGGCAGTCCACAGCTACTGCCAAATGAATAACTAATGCAGCTGAATACCTAAAGAAAATGATTACGAATCAGTTCTGAGGCTTCCCTTCTGGCTCAGTGGTAAAGAATCTACCTGCCAACGCAGGAGACCTGGGTTCAATCCCTGATCCGAGAAGACCCCACATTCCATGGAGCAACTGAGCCCGTGCTCCAGAGTCCAGGGGTCACAACTACTGAGCCCTCTCGCCATAACCACCGAAGCTTGCACACCCTGGAGCCCCTGATCTGCAAAAAGAGAAGCCAGTTCAATGAGAAGTCCAGTCACTGAAACTAGAGCCCACACAGCAACGAAAATCCAGTACAGCCAATTAAAAAAAAAAAATCAGCTGAAAAGATGCACACTTGTCCTTGTTTTGGGATACCACATGGCACAAGGTTTAATAACTGGTGAAAAGAGTAAAAGAATTTCAAAAGAAATGCCAGTTAGATAACCAGTCTCTGAAATTAAAAATAAATCTGAGGGCTTCCTGGTGGCCCAGTGGTTAAGAATCTGCCTGCCCATGCAGGGGACACAGGTTCAGTCTGGGGTCAGGGAGGACCCCACAGGCCGCAGGGCAGCTAAGTCCAGGCACCACAGCTACTGAAGCCTGTGCGTGCTCTGCAAGAGAGAAGCCACCACAGTGAGGAGCCCCATGCACCACAACCAGAGAGCAGCCCCTTCTCGCCACAACCGGAGAAGGCCAACAGGCAGAAGCGAAGAACCAGAGCAGCCAAAAAATAAGTAAATAATAAGTGTTTAGGGTAAATTTGAATCAGCAAAATAACAGGATTTGTGTACAAAAACCTTAAGATTAATTTAAAAAACCTTCTTTGGGAAAATACAGATGATGTTATCAAAGACTTAAATCATTATAAACATAAAATATCTGTGTTTTCAGATTTAATGAGTGACTGAATACCCAAGAGGTATTCATCTCTATATCCTAACCAGAAAAAAAAAAAATTACATAATTTGAAAAAAGGAAAAAAATCATTAGTGAATCACAGATATGGTAGACACTACTAAACGTGATATAAAGATATAACCTTTTACTTTATTAAAATGCACTGATGCAGTAATTTAAAGTAAATGGAATAAGCTGTCCTTTTATGTCCCTCCTGCTTTCTCTAATAACCCATCTTCTGCTGTAGTATTTCATCTACAGTATCGATGATCAGTTAAAAGCAAGTTCCAGAAAATATGACATCAGTTCAGTTCAGTTTGGTTCATTCGCTCAGCTGTGTCTGACTCTTTGTGACCCCATGGACCACAGCACGCCAGGCCTCCCTGTCCATCACCAACTGCCGGAGTTTACTCAAACTCATCTCCATTGAGTTGGTGATGCCATCCAACCAAATTGACCAAATTCAAGAAAACATTTATTCAACAAACAAGAGCGCTATTATCAACTAGACAACAGATACTGTATAAGCTTACTATATTAACCTTACATCCCCCATTAGTCACTAATGCTTAGCTACCAGAAAAGAGTAGCAAACATTTAATAAAAACAAAATGTATTTTGAGATTTAATAAACAAATATACTTCTTTTGTACAATAAAACAGAAAGTGCTATTGATATATTTAAAGAAAAAAACGAAATTCTAGAAAAAATCCTAAGAAAAAGATTAACTTTTTTAGGGTAATTACGAACCGAATTTTCTTCCTCCTCTTCCAGTTCTCGCTGCTGTTCTTCATGTCTTTTAGCTTTGATCTCCATTGCTTCTGTGATCAGGTCTCTTAAAATCGATACAGGTTTTGCATTCTTAATAAAAGGGTGCTAGAAAAGTAAAATTCAATGGTATAAATTCAAACGGCTTCTCTGAATTATATCTTAAAAACATTAAAACAATATGTAAATGTGAACCAGGATAATAGGCTTCAATGATTGGTCCTTTATCCAGAATTAAATAGATAGGTTAAGAACAGAGAATATTTCAACTGCTTTAGAACTTAAGATTTTACTTTTTAGGTTTACTTGTTTTTAAAAAACCACTGCAGAACACAAAAACAAATGTAATCCTTTTGATAAAAATATATCACCATTAGAGATATAGTTTTCCAAAGGAAGTATAGATTATGTAGTCAAAAAGGCAATTTTTTTTTTTAATTGGCGTATGTGTATGCTCAGTCGCTCAGTCACATCCAACTCTGCAACCCCATGGACTGCAGCCTGCCAGGCTCCTCTGTTCATGGGATTCTCCAGACAAGAATACTGGAGTGGGCTGCCATTCCCTTCTTCAGGAGATCATTCTGACCCAGGGATTGAACCCAGGTCTCCTGCATTGCAGGCAGATTCTTCTGAGCCACCAGGGAAGCCCAAAGGTCAGTGACTATATTACATATAAAAATAAAATGATTTTGGCATTGTTATAAATTTTAACTAATCTTAACAAGCCAACAGCTAAAATCAGTAGTCAAAAGGAAGACAACTATTTTTACTTCTTTTACATATTTTCTATTTATTATATATTTAATAATGTAATCATTTCCAAGGGAAAAGTAAAAAATAGTAATGAGAAAAATATTTTTCAGAAAATAAGTACTGCTTAATCTCTATACTACATATAAAGTAACTTTTCACTTCTTTTTTTGTATCATCCTGATCCAGCTAAGACATCTGAGTTTGCTACAATTCTGATAAACAGAAATAGAACCACCAGGAAATACCTGACTGTTTGACGACTTTGTAATTCAGAAGGGGGATCATGAGAGAATATAGACGGAAAGGTTAAAAGTTTAATTTGGACTGGATAACTGTATTTTGAATCAGCAATACACCTTCAAAATGTCATTTTCTTAATTATATGTCAGCAGATAAGAGTCAGATGAAAGTCATCTGAGTTATTTTAATAAAGATTAATACAACACAAAAATATTTTTAAAGGTAAAACAATTTTAGTGCTAAAGAAGAAATTTACTGACATTTGTAGGAGGCTTTAAAATGGTGAAGAAAACTATGGGAAAACTATGAGTAAGAATTTTACCTGAATACAGAAGTTCTAGGATAATGGCAAAGAACTAATAAATTATTTTATAGTGGTTATAGACTGATCACCAGATAAATTCTATCAACATACCTGTGATGGAGACTCCTAGTCACCCACCAAAACAGAGCTGGGACTGGACCTATGGCTGCCCAGCTACATCCTACATCTCTCAGACTCCCTTTCAGTTGGTTGTGATTATGAACTAAGTTCTCACCAATGCAATAGAGGTGTTTCATTGGTACTGAATGAAATACCAGTGTCTGTGTTGTGTTCTACCCCTTTGATCTGGGCCTCAGAACAGAGTGGGAGCTCTTCTGTGACTTCTTTTCTTTCTGCCACGCTGGGAAACAAAGACAGCGTCCTGAAGGAGGGGGGAGCAAGAAGGAAGAAGCCCCAGCCCTGCTATCAGAGCTTCTGAGTAACACTGAAAGGGGGTGCAAACAGTAGCAATAACTGAAGATGCGCTCCTTGCCCTTAAAGAACTTATTGTCCAGAATAAGGAATAAAAGATAAATGCATAAAAAAATTACAGTGTGACATTCATGATGATCTAGCATAGTCTATATGATTAAGCAAATTAAAAGTAAAAGAAATAGGTGAAGTAATATCAGGTGTCTCCTGGAGAAGAAACACTGTTTCAGGGAGAAGGAAAAGTATGAATGATACAAACACACACGCAAAGATAGGAGACGGATGTGAAAACACTGTAGGGAGAGCTGCTGAGCCAAAACAGAAACACGGCCTACAGAAATGGTGTCCTAAGAGTTTAGACACAGGTAACAGTGGGACAAGAAGGATAAATATTCAGAATGAGACACCGGAATTTTGCCTGACAGCCCCTTTAATTACATAGACGAGAGAACAGTGTAAGGAAAAGAATGTGATACCACAATCTTGCAGTAGAGTTTAGGAATGAAGTAAGATGGGGAGAAACTGTCAAACAGGTGTAAATTATTAAGAACCTAGGTTAAAAAAAATAGCTGCCACAATCAAGAGGAAATACTGAATCTGATGGGAAAAACTCTTAAGAAGGATTTAGAGCCTATGTATTAACAGAAGTAAAGGAAGACTAACACAGCAAAAGCTGAGAACCAGGAGAACTGTATCTCTTTACAGAGGCAAAAAAATACCAAATTGTATTTATACTTTATCTTTTCAGGAAAAATTATGAGCCAAATTCCAAGCAACAGTTTTATCTTTAAGAAATGCCAAAGTACACCATCCAGTCTATTGCAAACTTACTTTCATGCAGTTTGCTGTGAACTGACTACACAGTGTTATGCTACCATTAGTCTACAGAGCTTAACATTCCTTATCTCAAAATCTCAGCATGTCTTACTCCATTTGTACTCATTTTTTCCCTACATAATCACTACAGGCATGATTCTGACCAACAAAGAGGAATTGGCTAATAAAGTTAAAAGGGTACTTTAAGAACAAGCCCACAATATTTGAGCATTCTTGATGGACTGCATCACCGACTCAATGGACATGAGTTTGGGTAAACTCCAGGAGTTGGTGATGGACAGGGAAGCCTGGCGTGTTGCGGTTCATGGGGTTGCAAAGAGTCGGACGCGGCTGAACTGAACTGATCATCACAAGAAAAGTTTTATCAGACACATTGGCAGATTTTTGAAGAATATTTGAAAGTTTTTTACAAGCAGCTGGTAGTAAAATTTTAAAATGCAAAGCAACATAGAAAAGAACAGAACAACAACAAAAACCAGAGAAAACAAGGTGGCAAAACTGAAACGTGACACCTGTGACTGAAACATTATTAGTACAAACCAATATAAATAAATGTGCTGAAATTTCCACTATAGCAGTATTTTAGTTAAGTACTAAAAGATATTTAGTTCGTAAGATAAATTAAACTACATGCTTTCTACATGAGATATACTTAACAAAATAAATCCAAATTACGTTTCTATCAGGGGATGCTAAAAAGAACTTGGGGGTTAAATGTCAAGGACAGGCAATGAAATATCAAACATACACAATGTCAAGAATAACATAATCCAATAAAAGCAGAAATGAAGACAAAAAATGGTAAGTGAAGGAAGAGTCATACAATATTAATAAGGGACATAATACAAAGTAAGATATAATAGTTATAAATTTGATATATTAGTACAGCATTATGATATATAACAAAAACAGAGACATAAGAAGATCTAAGTAAATAATGAGAGGAGACATTAGTATTTCTTTTTTAGTCACTGAGAAATGGAACACTAAAAATTAAAGATTAAAGCAATCTGAATAATATAATCAGACTGAGTTAACAGAAAAATCAATAAACAGAAGTAATATCTTTTTGTTAAATGCCTAGAAAAGCATGTGGTACCAGCATAAGAATGGAAAGAACAAGAAAACAGAATATAATGCCTGGAAATAGACTATAATGTACAAAATAAGCTGGCATATTATGAAAATAGCAATTCCAATCAGTGATGAAAAAATACTTGCTGCTTCCTTATTTTGGGGGTTGAGAGGAAGGTTTTGAATTAAGTTAGATCTTCACCACAGAAGTATCAAAATAAACTGGAGATGGATTAAGAAGTCAAAAGTCAAAAAATGGAAATATAAAAGAACTGGTAATACAGGAGAATATTTATATGTTCAACCCAGTGCTATGAAACAAACAAAAAAAACCATAAATCAACTAAAAATTTAACATTTATGTCAGACAAGAGGGTAGTTACTTAAAAGAGTTTTAAAAAGAGTATCAATAAGAAAAAGATAAACAGACAAAGTTGTAAAAGGCAAGACAGTTTCCCTATTTCTAAATGTATCCAGGGTTTTTACCCCAGTCCAGCCTTAGGACTCGCTGCTTTCACTTCAGCAACCCAGGCTCAATCCCCGGTCTGGGAACTAAGACCCCGCAAACTGTGTGGCGTGGCAAAAAAAAAATCAAGTATCTAAAGTAAAACATAAACTAAAAGAGGACAAGAATTCTTACACCACTTGAACTGAAGAGAGAGACTACCCAAAATCAGCCTATCACATTCTTGGTCATGTATTTTAAGAAGTAAAGCTGCGTAAACTTTGTTTATGTTCTGAGTTATCAATTTCTAAACTGAAAGAATTTAAATTAATAATTTCTTCCAAGGAGTGAAGTGCAGAAGAGACTTCTGCTTCTAGACAGATCGGGCAGTCGTCCTTTCCTCCTACCGCTCCGTCAAAGCACAGTGAAAACCCTGGACGTTACATACAAACAAGCCCAGGAAGACACTGGACGGTGGAGAGCAGGTGGCAAGCCAGCTCGGGGCTGCGGGACTGAAGCAAGGGCTCAGCTGTGAGTTCCACGGGCTTCCCTTTTACTTCGTTTATCCCAGACTGGTTACTGATGAAGCCAGGAACCCAGACACACCAGCGGACACAGACTAAAACAGCCCCTACAAAAGCCTGCTCTCTCTGGAGTCAAAGGATCAGGAAAGGGACAGTTAGCCAGCACGCAGCCCTCTCTTAATAGCCATTCTGCTCCACCCAAACCCTGCAGAGCGAACAGTGGCCCCACCCCATGTGGCGAAGGCTGGGTGGGGAACCTAGACTTCCACCCTCTGGAGGCTGTCCAATCCTTTCCCTGCAGTGGCATCAGAGAAGACCAAATGTTAAGCTGGGTGTTCATCCACACCCAGCAGTATAAGAGGTGCTTCCCCTCCACCCCCGCCCCGGTGGGGAGATCTCGTGACAGCCTGGACTTCCAGCACTATCAAGCCGTAATAAGGAAACCCCACCTCCCTCCCTGCTAGAGGGGAGAATCAGAACTTCCATCACTGCCCAGCTCTACTGAGGCCCTGCAGGGCCTGCAGAGGCCGCTGAGGGAATCTGAGTCCTCAACCCCTCAAGGGGCTTGTGGGCCCCTTCCCCCCACAAGTCAAAAGAGACCACGTAGAGGGGCCTGGACTTCTAATGCTACCTGATAGAAATGATGGTGCCCCTCTACCTCACTGAAGCACTATCAAAGGACACCACTTATTACAGAGAATTTAAGTAAGATCCAGCGTCTCAAAACATAATACTCAAAATGCCCAGGTTTCAAATGAAAATCACTCATCATAAGAAGAAGCAAGAAACTATCAACTTAACTGGGAAAATACATTCAACAGATACCAACATCAAGATGACATGGATAACAGAATTATCTAGTAGGGATTTTAGAGCAGTCATAAAAATCCTTCAATGAGCAATTACAAACATGTCTGTAAACACGTGACACATTAGAAAGTCTCAGCAAAGTATGAGAAGATACAAAAGAGAAACAAATGAAAAATATAAAAATAAGATATATAAAAATAAAACCTGATGGATGGACTGGCTGTATAGCAGAATGAGGACAGAGAGGACTCAGTGAATCAGAATATTAAACAGTAGAAATTACACACTATGAATGACAGAAACTAAACTGGCATAAAAATGAACAGAATCTCAGGAATCTGTGGTACTGAAACAAAAAAATCCGAACACTTGTGTTAATGGAGTCCTAGAAAGAGAATAGAGGGGAGGGCCGAAAACTGACTGATAAAATGATAGCTAGAAACTTCCCCACGCTGGCAAGAGATGTAAACCCACGAGTCAAGAAGCTGAACATATTCTACACAGTACAGACCCAAAGAAATTCATACCAACACACATCATAATTAAACCTTTGAAAATAAAGACAAAGAAAAAAATCTTGAAAAGACCACGGGGTAAAACAATTCAGATGACTGTAGACTTGTAGATTTCTCATAAGAAACCACTGATATCGGAAGAACGTGGCACAGCATTTTCCAAATATTGAAAGAACTGTCAACCAAGGAAGGATTCTACAGCCAGTGAAAACATCCATCAGGAATGAAGAAGAAACAAGACGTTCTCAGGTGAACGAAAATTAAGCGAATTTGTTAACAAAGGCCTACCCTAAACGAAAGGCTAAGGGAAATCTTCTAAACAGAAAGAAAGGAACAAAAGAAGGAACTTCTGGAACATTAGGAGGAAGAACACTGGAGAGAACATAAACAGGTTAAACAGTTGTCCCTTATCCTGGTTTTCTCAATCGTTTAAAGGTTAAAATAAATATAACACTCTGATATGGGCCTCAATGTAATGAAGAGGAAGTATTAAAGATAATTATATTATAAATGGGAGGGACACCAAGGTAGATAAAGTTTCTATTCCTTACTTCAACTGGTAAAATGAAAACCAAGTCATATGCCAGGAGAGTTCACAAAGTGACCCACGACACCACTTATTCCAGCCAAGCCCATGGGCCAATTTGAATAATGACAGATTTCACTCTTCTAGAAGGCCAGACTAGGGCAAAAATTGACTTTCAGGTTCTAGGCCACCCACCAGAAGTACAGGGAACAGTTCCAGACTAGGAATTCTAGTGCCACCAGGCTGAACTTTAACTGTCCCTGGGGATTCAATATCCTCTTCTTTTAAAAACTACCAAGAGTTCAGCTTAATCTCAAAGGATCCTTTCAGTCTTAGCCTGCTCTTTTAAACTTATACAATTATCTAGTGTTGGAAAATAAGCACTATAAAAAATTCAGCACAAATTCCTTTTTAAAACCTGTTTATCAAAGTCGAGAAATCAATATGGTAAAATCTACACATGTAGGTTATAGGCAAATGTCCACTTAAACTTGGTAATAAGACTATATTCTTAAAGTTAAAACATAATTTAACTTATAACATATAAAACATATGCAAAACTCCCTTAAGAGACAGAATAGGATGGCTTTCAGACATTCAGTAAAATAAAACTCGGAGTCTAATATTAGAGACTCAAATGATACAACAGATAGTAATTCTGTCTAAAAGCTTTTAAAATCAGAAGTTTGCTATCTTAAATAAACATGTTGAATTTAATACACATGTATTAAGCACTACATGTGTATTAAAGATACCAGGATATAGATACCTGTATTAAGATACCAGGAATACAAAAACAACCCCCTCCCCAAAAAGAGTACCACTTGACCTTGATCTAGTTACAATCCAGGACAAAGACATAGAAACAAGTTATTTCATTCTAATATGGCAAATGACATGCCCAGGATGCTTATGGAAACCCAGAGAAACAATTAGCCTGAACAAAGATGAAGGGAAGGCTTTCTGGAGGAGTACCTACTTTGAATTTAGAAACAATGAGACAATGAGTAAAAAGGAGCCTGCTGGTAAAGGCAGTCTTTAAACTAGCAAGTGAGGGGTGAGAAAAGGTACAGAGGATTGAAATAACATGATCTGTATGAAACATGAAACTGCAAGTCGACTACTTCAGCATTTATAAAGGGGAAAAAAAGGGAGGTCAAGCAAGGGGTCAATTAAGAAGCCAGAGGAGGACACACCAACATTATAAGAGAGGGCCTCCACGCTCAACAACGGCACAACAGGAAAAGTTTTTTTTTTTAATCAAGAGAACAAATACTGGCTCATAAGCACTATACAAAACCAGCTGCACTGTTTGCCCTCAATATAAAGAAAAATGCTTGAGCCAAACCCAGCTAGAAGCCAGAGAGTAACGAGCTTATTAATACAATCCGTACAGGTCAACTGGGCTTCCCATGTGGCTCAGCTGGTAAAGAATCTGCCCGCAATGCGGGAGACCTGGGTTTGATCCCTGGGTCAGGAAGATCCACTGGAGAAGGGAAAGGCTGCCCACTCCAGTATTCTTAAGGGCTTCCCTCGTGGCTCAGCTGGTAAAGAATCCGCCTGCAATGTGGGAGACCTGGGTTCAATCCCTGGGTTGGGAAGATCCCCTGGAGAAGGGAAAGTCTACCCACTCTAGTACTCTGGCCTGGAGAAGTCCATGGACTGTATAGTCCATGGAGTTGCAAAGAGTTGGACACAACTGAGCAACTTTCACACATGCAGGTCAACTTCCTGGGCAGAAAGCAGAATGGACAAAGGGTGACAAGTGAGGCTAGGGGACAAGTGGAATAAACCTAGAAGAATCCCTTGATCACTGTGTGGTCTTTCGTGAGGCATTGAACTTTTCTGGGCTTCAGTACTCTCGTAAACAAAATTAGGGAATTCTACTGGAATATTTCTTAAATGCTTTTCCACCCTAAAAACTCTAGGTTAAAAACAGAATTTCTTTAGAGGTTAGAAAAGATTATGGAAGAAAGACCAGAAAGAAAATATTGGCTAAATTATCCAAAAACCAGTCACTGGATGTATTTGGATTTACTTTCATCATCAGATTTTATACTATTTGTTCCATTTTTTTGATTATTTCCCCTCTCCACTTCTTTCTTGTCTTCTTTATGGTTAAATAATTTAGACATTCAACACAGTAACAACAGCAATAGGTCCTTGATTTATATGCTTAAAATTCCTTTGAAGTGCTGACAATATTTCAAAAATAATGTTTCAATTAATTATCTTTTGAAAGGTAATATGGGCACATAAAACCAAACTCAAAAGTCTTAAAAAGAGTCTTCAGCAAAAAGAAAGTTTCCATCCCACTATTGCTTCTCAGCCATGTAGTTACCTTCTCTGGAGGCCATTTTCTTGCTTATTTTTCTAGAGCTACTCCACTATAAGCATTGACATTTGTATACATACATACATGTGTATGTGGGTGCATGTATTTTGCCAATAACTCCCCTCAGTAGACCTCAAATTGCTTCCAATTTGTTGACAGGTATTTATGTTGTTTCCAATCTTTCGCCATTATAATGGTTTATGAAGATTTTTTACACCTATGTTATTTCACACGTGGTTAAATTTCTCTGTAAATTGCTAGAAGATTAACTACGGGGTCAAAGAATACATGGTGTTTTATTCTAGACAGACTTTGCTAAACTTCCTTTCATGGAAACTGAGTATTAAGCTAAATTTTTGTAACAATAAAGCTTATATTAAAGGACTAGTTTCTAACATTCTCAATAATTCCTTTTTTAAAAAACATTACCTTGGAAAAATCACTTTTTATAGCTATGTTTTTAATCCCTTTGTCACTTAAAAAGAACTATTCTCCAAATATCAAGTTTTGTTAACATGCACACTTATCATAGCACACAGGTCTAAGTCAATTCTGCTGGGAAAGGAAAGACTCATGAATAATTACTAAAAGTATTCAATTATTTCTACTTGCATTTAATGTCAAAACAGATTTTTTAAAAAAAGGCTCCTGACACTCTGGATACAAAGTCTCTTCATTTAGGTCATCTTGCAACCAGTATTTACAACATTCCATCTTCTCAGGGAGTTCAGGGATTTCATATTTACATATCTTACAGGGCAAAAAGTCAAAGAAGAAATGCTGGGTCAAGGAATAATACATCTGGAAATTAAAACATAAGAAACAATAACAATGGAAAAGAAACTCATTTCTGAAATGAGAACCCTACAGAAGTTCAGTTTTAACACAATTTTAGGAGGAAAGAACTGGCAACAAAAATTAGTGGGGGAGAGGGGAGGGCAGAAAATTGAACTTGGAAAACAAAATTTTTAAATGAGAGAAACAGAACATACAGGAGAAGAAAGGTGTATGTGTCTGTCTGTACATTAATCCATGTTTCCTGAAAAGTTTACATCTTTACAATTCAGTTTCTGAATAAATAAATCAGTTAGTGAAACTCCTAATGATCTCGGTCGGTGTTAGAAAAAGCTAAAAGGTACACAGAGAAAACATCCCCCTGTCAGAGACACGAGCACCGACCTGTAAAAGCTGTGTTGCAGCGGCTCTCTGCTCAGGGTTCTTCACTAGGCACTTCTTAACAAAATCGGTGAAATCATCAGACCAAAGTTCTGGCTTCCTGAATGTTGGTGGTGGGTTTGTGGGAATCATAAATATAGCCTGATACAAATGAAAAATCCAAAAGACACAGTAAGAATCACAATAACACACCAAATAAACAAATCTCTTTATCTATCTTTAATCAGACTCAAAAATCTGAAAAACAAATTTAGCTCTTCTTGGATTTCCAGTCAAATTGCAATTCAGGAAGCAAAGCCATCTGCTACTAATGTAATCATTTCCCATTAAATTTCCTCTATTTGAATTGTAGTTCATTGAGCACATCATTCTTTATTTTATCTATTATTTTTAATCAGTCTCCAAAGAAGACTGTATTTCTAACCCTTATACCAAATGGAGGACATTCTCTGGTTAAACAGATATATACTTCAATTTTGCTATTGCATGCCAGACTTGTTTCCCATTTCAGTATTTTTTTTCAGTACTGCTATTTAGAATGGCTAGCAGCAGCCTAATTTGCGTCTGCAATTCAGAATATTAAAGTACAAATATAATTACTGCTGTGGTTTGAAATAATACTTGGTGGAAGCAAGTCTTTAATTTCTCTTTCTAAATATATGAGTCAAGAATGCAAATTAAAAGCTTTAAAAGTAATATACCACTTCATCACTAATGATTTAATATTAATAACTTATGGCAGCTCAGACTGTAAAGAATCTGCCTGCAATGTAGGAGACCCGGGTTCAATCCCTGGGTCAGGATGATCCCCTGGAGAAGGGAATGACTACCCACTCCAGTATTCTTGCTTGGAGAATTCCATGGACAGAGGAGCCTGGTGAGTTACAGTCCATGGGGTTGCAAAGAGCCGAACATGACTAAGCAACTAATACTTTCATTTCTTCACCTGATATTCAGAGAGCTCAAAAATTCAAAAACTTTTAAAAAGTCTCCCTGTCATCTTGTCTTTATAGCTACCCAGTTATCCTTTTTTTGACAAAGAGAATTAATCCCTAAAGTTCTCAGAAAATCACTGTATGCAATGAGTTAACTTCTCTCCTGGTCTGTAGAATAGTTCCTGATAAATTACCATCACTAAAACAATATCTTCTTTGAAAGGATATGAAAACCATAATAAAGTAAAAAAAAAAAAGTATCCTGCACACAACAAATATTAGATATCATCACTTTCATTTCCACATAATGTTATTTTAAAAAGACAAGAGACAAACACAGCAATGACAAAAATTTTACAAAGTAAAATGAACTCAACCATATATAACTACCTATAGTTTAAGAGGTAAGTTTCTATATAATGGCACAATCAACATTACAGGCGACAAGAGGAAAAAATGGCTTTTTGGCAATCAATATAGACATTCACAGTATACAATATACGTGGACCTCTTGAAGGCACAGTATACACAGGCCTCTCAAAGATGTATTCAGGGGTGAAGCATCCACAATGCTTTCTAGACTTTGGTATTCCCTGACTGTCCAGAAGAGAGGTGTCCGTCTCTGCCCTAGCTCATTTCTTCGCTGATTTTTGCTGGTCCTAGCCTTGTGATGAAGAGGCTTGTGCAACTCAATGAAACTATGGGCCAGGTGGTGCAGGGCCACCCAAGATGGATGAGTCATTGTGGAGAGTTCTGACAAAACGTGGTCCACAGACGGAGGGAATGGTAAACCACTCCAGTGTTCTTGCCTCGAGAATCCCATGAACAGTATGCAAAGGCAAAAATATATGACACCAGAAGAAAAGCCCCCCAGGTCAGAAGATGTCCAATATGCTCCTGGGGAAGAGCAGAGAAATAGCTTCAGAAAGAATGAAGATGTCGGGCCAAAACAGAAATGATGCTCAGCTGTGGATGTGTCTGGTGGTGAAAATAAAGCCCAATGCTGTAAAGAACAATACTGCATAGGAACCTGGAATGTTAGATCGCTGAATCAAGGTAAATTGGCTATGTCAAACAATAGCAAGAATGAATATCGACATCTTAGGAATCGGTGTATCAAAATGGATCAGAATAGGAGAATTTAATGCAGATGACCATTATATCTACTACTGTGGGCAAGACTCCCTTACAAGACATGAAGTAGCCCTTCTGAGGGCTACGAAAGAGTCCAAAATGCAGTACTTGGATGCAATCTCAAAAACGACAGAATGATCTCTGTTCATCTCTAAGGCAAACCATTCAACATCACAGTAATCCAAGTCTATGCCCCAACCACTAATGCTGAAGAAGTTGAACTTGAACAGCTCTAGAAAGAACTACAAGACTTTCTAGAACTTACACCAAAAAAAGATGTCCTTTTCATCCTAAGGGATGGTAGTACAAATGTAGGAAGTGAAGAGATACCCAGACTAACAGGCAAGTTTGACCTTGAAGTACAAAATGCAGCAGGGCAAAGGCTAACAGAGTTTTGCCAAGAGAACACACTGGTCATAGCAAACACCCTCTTCCAATAACACAATAGACGAATCTACACACGGACATCAGCAGACTGTCAATACTGAAATCAGACTGATTGTATTCTTTGCAGCCAAAGATGGGGAAGCTCTATAAAGTCAGCAAAAACAAGACCAGGAGCTGACTGTGGCTCAGATCATGAACTCCTTATTGCAAAATTCATGTTTAATTTAAAGAAAGTAGGGAACACCACTAGGCCATTCAGGTATGACCTAAATCAAATCCTAAAAGATGATGCTGTTAAAGTGCTGCACTCAATATGTCAGCAAATTTAGAAAACTTAGCAATGGCCACAGGACTGAAAAGGTCAGTTTTCATTCTAATTTCAAAGAAGGGTAATGTCAAAGAATGTTCAAACTGCTGTACAGTTGTACTCATTTCACACACTCTAATGTAATGCTCAAAATTCTTCAAGCTTGGCTTCAGTAGCGACTGAAGAACTTCCAGACATACAAGCTGGGTTTAGAAAATGCAGAGGAACTAGAGATCAAAATGCAACATCCACTAGATCAGAGGGAAATCAAGAGAATTCCAGAAAAACATCTACTTGGGCTTCACTGACAATGCAAAAGCAAAAGCTTCGAGTATGTGGATCACAACAAACTATGGAAAATTCTTAAAGAGATGGGAATTACCAGACCACCTTCCCTGTCTGCTGAGAAACCTGTATGCAGGTCAAGAAGCAACAGTTAGAATCAGACATGGAACAATGGATAGGTTCAAAATTGGAAAAAAAAAGAGTACAACAAGGCTGTGTTTATTTAACCTATATGCAGAGTACATCATGTGAAATGCCGGGGTAGATGACTCACAAGCTGGAATCAAGACTGCCAGAAGAAGTATCAGCAACCTCAGATACACACATGTTACCACTATAATGGCAGAAAAGTGAAGAGGAATTAAAGAACCTCTTGATGAGGGTGAAAGAAGAGAGTGAACAAGCTGGCTTTAAAAACTCAACATAAACTAAGACCGTGGTATATCCAGTCCCATCACTTCAAGGCAAACAGAAGGGGGGGAAAGTGAAAACAGTGACAGACTGTTTTTTTGGGTTCCAAAATCACTGCAGACAGTGACTGCAGCCATGAAATTAAAAGACACTTGCTCCTTGGATGGAAAGCTATGACAAACCTAGACAACATATTAAAAAGCAGAGACATCACTTTGCCAACAAAGGTCCACATAGCTAAACCTATGGTCTTTCCAGTAGTCATGTATGGGTGTGAGAGTTGGACCATAAAGAAGGTTCAGAGCTGAAGAATTGATGCTTTCAAATTGTGGTACTGGAGAAGATTCTTGTAAGTCCCTTGGACAGCAAGGAGATCAAACCAGTCCATCCTAAAGGAAATCAGTCCTGAATATTGGCCACCTGATGTGAAGACTCATTGGAAAAGATCCTGATACTGGGAAGATTGAAGGCAGGAGAAGGGGATGACAGAGGATGAGATGGTTGGATGGCATCACCAACTTGATGGACATGAGTCTGAGCGAGCTCTGGGAGTTGGTGATGGACAGGGAGGCCTGCAAAGAGTCCATGGGGTTGCAAAGAGTGAGACACAACTGAGCGACTGAACTGAAATGAACACACAAAAGCATGGCATTAGACTTCATATGGAATTAAAAGATGCAGCAGGAAATACGATCACTGCCCTTAAGAAACTTCTAACCCAGTCCAGTAATGAGAGAACAGTAAAAGATTTAAAGAACTGTACAATGATAAAGAAAATCATATAAAGCATTGAGAGGTCATTCTCCTTAGAAGAAATAGGATAAGGAAAAGTGAAATAAGACTGTTGGGAGGAGCAGAGAACAAGCTGATTATCCTATAAGGGACTAAGAAATGATAAGATTAGAAGAGGAATGAAGGATATGGAGTTTGGTCAGCAAGAAAGTGCACAACTCTTTTTAGTTGGATCCCCACCCCTCCCGTGTGTGTATCTTTATATTTTTTGCTTTTAATCAGGGTTTGTGTGTGACCTAAGAAAAGGATTAAGAAAAAACAAACAAACCTAGAGATATTCTAAATGTGGCTAGCATAGAGGTCTCAGGATGCATCATAAATAGTTTTAAACTGGGATGGTATTTACAGGAACAAAATGGAAGAAATAAGGTATACACACTACAAGGGCTTCCCTTGTGGCTCAGCTGGTAAAGAATTAAAGAATCCACTGGCAATGCGGGAGACCTGGGTTCAGCTCCTGGGTTGGGAAGATCTCCTAGTGAAGGGAAAGGCTACCCACTCCAGTATAATGCCTAAAGGGAAAGGCTACTCGCTCCAGTAAAACACTTAAATTTAATGTCTGAAACTATAAAATCTCTAAAAGGAAAAGCTTCATGACATTAGTCTTGGCAATAATATCTTGGATATGACATCAAAAGCTCAGGCAAAAATAGCTTACAAACTCTAGGAGTAAAAATAGTGCATTATCCTGCACTTTTCCTCACTTTAAGTTTTAGGAGTGACCTTTGATTCTGAAAATGTGTTGATGTTTATCTACGATAATGGGGAAAGCAATATGGAGGAATTCTGAGGAAAAAAAGTGTGGTTTTACAAGGACTTACTGTATAGCACATGGGATTCCCCAGTGGCTCAGCAATAAAGAATCCTCCTGCAATGTAGGAGATGCAGGT